TCATCTTGTCTAGTTTTGTCTGGTTGTCCGTTTGTTCCTGACGATATAATGTATGCTCTTTCCATAACCTTGTGATTGAAATGATGGATTAGGACTCTGGATAGGCGCGGAGTGTTTCTCGCTCACGGCGAGGGGCGACCCACCGATTAACGGATCCAGTCTTGATCTTGAGTTGCTTCTTTACTTTCTCATAGTCACCCATGGCGTCTTTGGTACGGCGATAGTTATTGTCGACACGGCGAGGTCCAGGATCGGATTGGGAGCGGTGGCCAGTCAAATCCGATGATGTAGGGTGTACCATAGCCGAGGTTCTCTATGGCGCCTCAACGTATGGTCCTCGTACAGATGCTGGGATACTCCCAGCCCGACAAGGTGGGGGTATGGGATAGAATAATGTCGAGACGACTTCCAAAGGAAAAGACCGATTGTAATGGTAGAATTGTTTTGAAAATTAAACAAAACTCTGATAATTGCGAGAAAATATGGCCAGTGTATCTCCGCAAGAATCCGCAGGCAAAGCCCCTGTACCTGTTGGCAACTTGCCCTCAACCACACTCGACACATATCTACGACCGTCCTCCCTAGTTCATTCTAATTAATAACTGAAAACTCTTGAAAGGTACACCTCTTTATTTCTGTATTCTAGACGGCAAATTCCGTGTCACTCGCTCCCTTATTCAAGGACGTACTCTCCTGAGGCTCCGGATCGTCTTCCATCGATGCTCCAATCGCGCGCGACGATATGAAATACACATAGCGTCGTCTGATCATTACTAGCAAAATGTCACGGCATGCTAACCGCCTTGGCTTGGTCATGGGGTGTTCGGGTACGAACTAGGCTAGTATAAATGACCATGTGGAGTATATTTCAATGTGAGTGACCCAGAAGGCATCATTGACGATATAGTCTTATCGCGACCCATCTATTACCACTATTCCACAGCCATTGCATCATGTTCCATGACAAACCGGATTGGCCTGTGAGGGATTTCTCCAAACAGGGTCGTTCAGATCACAATCGAGCGTTGAATCAAGCCACAAAGTGACCGTTAACGAAATAAATATATATTGTGACAGTCTAGGCTCGGCCATCCGCGCTCTCCAACGTGGATAAGGTACACGCATTCGCTGTTACAGCGTACGTCGGGCGCAGAGCAGTCATATTCCCACTTCCCACACTTCCGGCTTAATAGGTCTATAGCGCCTGTCGAGCGCTAAAGCGGCTTGACGGCGTTCTTCTTGCTGTTCGAGAGGGAGGATTATGAGGGATCGATCGAGCCCCTTCCTTGTTAGCATCGCCATGTCCGCGCATACCCTCAAGCGTGCATTATGTTCTCAATTACCGGGATCAATTGCCCAGATCAAGGTCCCGATCGCAGCTCTTCAAGAACGTCTTTCGTTCTTCTTCCACAGCTAGGATGGAATTAGAGTCAGTGCAGTCTATTTCGGTAGCGCTGACAGACAAAGTTAACCTTTTTATACCGGATTTTATGAGTCATCTAGCTCATGGCTCTGTCAATATGGACAAATACGGACAGGTGTATTAGGGAGAGCCACTTTCTGACACTTCTTCCGGCACGGGCTTTCTAATAGGCTAGCTCAGCAACAGGCGTCATGTTCGCTCCGAAACCACTGGTGCGGCAAGACTAGAGGTCAGCAAGCGACATGGATACGGTGACACCCGCTACGGTTGTCAAATTTGGTCTTCTTCCTCCTAGGCACCGCGTTGGGGACCTTCCAAAGTGAAAAAGGGGCGGTTAAACGTTTAATATTTTCAGGATAACTCTAATCTGAAGCTAGTTGCGAAGCCCGAATTCAACGAGCCAGTTCAATTCGTCACTGGCCGGGGCCTTTTCTCTCCTCGCGCGCTTCCACCTCTGTGCCACGCTTAATGGACCTGAAATTCCGCTTTCTCTTGGAACATAACTATAATATTTTTGGTTTTATATTATATCTCGTGCTCTTCGCGCTCCGCAAACCGGGGAGGACATCCCCCCTCTGACGGTATAAAATGCCCCCAAGCTCCTGACGAAGTTTGCTATCAAGTTCTTCGACTTTGGTACGCATAATCTCGATCCACCATCTTCGTCACACACACAACCTACAATGACTGAACGTGAGCCAACTCGCATCTCGTATCCACTACCTTCTGACCCCCAATCGTAGAGCCACCTTCTTGGCGACAACTCTTCCACCACAGGCTCCAGGAGAATTGTACGCAGAGTTTCCTCTTCATCACGAGCTCTTTTCTGACTACTTTTTTCTAGTCAGAGGACGGGCTATGGAATGGCAGCAAAACCGCAGTGGTCCTCAACATCAAGAGACGTGGAACGTCACATTGTACGGTACGCAGCTAAATTCGTGTTGACATCTAGCAGATACTCATGGTCTACTCTTTCATAGTCAAGGAAGGAGGCAACATGTTCGAGTACGGCAAGGGTGAAGGGCCCACGCAAGCCATTGCGAGAGAAGTCGCGTGTCAGCAGGGCATGTTCAAACTGGACAGAGAGATACAGGCTATGCGTGGACGTGCTTGATCTGAGTGGAGGAGCTCCAACCTCATCCCATATGGTTTCATCTCAACCCAATCCTTATCTTTCTACGGATGCCGTTTTTTTCCATCCATTCATACCCATCTCGGTTCATGTCCCTCCAAGCCCTTCTCGTAGCGACGAAACCGCGTTTTGGTTCATATATTTATAAATCGCAATAAACTTTTTATTTATCCGATTTTGTTCGCGGGCCTTGCTCCACAGAAGATGCACACTGAATGAAATTCGTCCTGAATCCTCGTCCGTGTGCACGCGCTAACCTGCTATCAAGATTATCATCAACCAGAGTTTTGGGAAGTTGCGAGATCTACAAGCGGGCGGGTTCGCAATTGTGACCCTTTCGGAAACGATGAAGCCTCACTTCGGTTCAATTGGCCTCGAGCCATGAGCGCTACCTTTGCTCTATTACGTATTCTATTTTGTTACAAAAACTGAGAATGCTTATTCGGTATGTACGATCCGTTTTGCGAAACAGCCACAGACAGCGAGGTCATTTCTCCTCAGGCTTGGACTCTCTATCTTGGCTCGGGACGTTCCTATATAGCAAATTAAAACGAGAAGAATGGGAAGCCTGTCATCAAAAAGTCAATTCGCTGTGGGACGTCGTCCAGGGATGGGGGTTCATTGCTGGTTTTTCTTGACCAACTCGTACTGGAACCCGAAACCGCTCTCGAGAAAATCACCAAAGGCTCAGGAATACGGAGAAATGGGTCCAGGACCACCAAAGGAATATTCGAGGAGTGGCTAGCCGCAGTCAGTGTACGAATGCTCACTAATACCCTCTGGAAATCCGGGACACGATGTTTGAATGAACGAGCCTAGTTGACGTCCAATCGGCCCTCCACCAATGATTGTGCCGTGTCGAAAGGGATTCTCGTCATCGGACTTGGAGGTGTCCTCCCATTGCTACGATCTCTCCTGTGAATACAAGACCGCAGTAGCCACGTCTCTGGCCACCGAGGGTACAGGGCGCAAGTCCCCACCGCAAAGATGATGGAAATATACGAAGTGGCGAGACATACGACCGACGTCGCCGCTTGCGCCCTACTACAGTTTGTGCATGGGCTCAATTACATCGTGGCCATCTCAATGGACAGGCTATTGATTGAGCAAGTTGAGAACCGTATAGCTTATTAGCAAGAGCGAGGGCGTTCGCCTGGGGGGGCACAGGGAGTTTTTGGGCGGGATATGTTACCCAAACCGGTGTGCACTCGTGCGCCGGCTACTCTATTGGTCTCTACGCAAAACATCGCCACCGTCCTATAGCCTTTGACCTCATGGCCGACAAAGCAACAATCGGATTACCTTGCTGCTTTCTTTTCACTATTTCCACAGTCCTACACACGGATCAACGCTCTTTAACCCTACCCCACAGGCTCCATGGTATAAAAGGCTCGGGGCGATCTCCTGTCCAGTCTTTCGACATCAACACCCTCTCTCCAAACTACTTTATATTTTCTGGCTATCTATCAGCTATTTACTCTTCTTCATTCACCGCGACGCCTTCTTCAACTATGGGACCAACCACTTCTGCATCCAACTCACGGCATCCAGGTAAGCAGATTTTCGCAAAAGACTTGGTTCACTAGAATTTTCTAACAAAAAATACATCTAGTCCAAATTCCTACCTACCGCCTCCGACTGAACGACTACCTCCAGCAATGGCGGCGACGTGACAAAGTAAAGTGGGTTGCCTCTTCTTCTGGCCGGCAGGAGAGACCGCAATGGACTGTAACGTGCTACTGTGAGTATTTCCATTACTTTTAATGTCAAGAGCATACACTGACCGTCGTTTCGCTTCTTTCTCCGGTGCTCCTTTGACTCGGCCAACTCTACCCGACCTTCGACATGCTCTCGGATGCGACAATGTGTTGACAGTGAACGAGATTAGGTATGGTACGGGACGTTCCCTCACCAAGAGCGACGCCAAAGAGCTTGCGGCCAAGGAAACTCTCGAGATCATCTACCGGCAGAACGCGCCCACCACGTACAGCACCGAGTCATACAAGTGGCCTATAGAAGGAGGCGGCGATCATCATTATAGCTATGGTTATCCTATTGCAGCCTCTACTTCTGCCTACGCTCCTGTCACCCACCCATACATTGCCACTCCTGGCACTCCTGCAGCTGGTCTACAGCCTCTCCCAACCACATCTGCGTCACCTTCACACTATGCATATCCATCTCAGTACCCAGCATATCAGTATCAGCCCTACTACCATACTCAGCACGCGCCACAGCAGCAAACCTATTACGTCTACTCGTCATCCGACCCCTACTACCGACACTAAACGCTCCTCATGAACTAAATTTACATCTCAACTTTATCCTTTTTTTCTTTCCGCCACACTTCTTCGTTTTGGGAAATCACGTCAACACAATGGGCTCATGAACAAACAAACTGTATCCTATCACCAACC